CCCAACGGGGGGGTCACCCAGCAGGACCCCCTCAGCAACCAACTGCACCAAACCCCCCCCCACCTGCATCTGTCTGAGCCAATTCATCAGGCCGCCCTCAAAACTTTCATACTGCTGTGCAGCTGCACCATCATTTTTTAACTGCAAATAACATTACCCCTGCAAGTATCCGACACAAATTCAGAATTATATTTGTAAATTCCTGTCTTGCCACAGGATTATCAGAAAAAGCAAATGTCAGAGGTCACCAACAGTATATCTTTATCTTTGCTGGGAGCGGGGCCCGCCGTGTGCCGAGCGTCTGCGGCGGCGCCTCCCGGAATGTCACAGTTCAACACGTACAGCGAGTCACGAACCGACAGAAGCGGGGTCGAACCTCGCGGCACAGCCGAGGTTTTCATGAAGGAAGGCGGTATTGAACAGCTTTCAGCTGTGCTGCTGGTTGCAGACAACCAGGGTGCTTTTCTGGTGGAGGTCAGGGCGGTTTTACTCCCGCATTCTCTCGGTTTTTATTCTTTGACACACCGTGCAATTTGTATTTACGCTGTGCTTTTAAACCAAACCCTTCCCCATAGCACTTAACACAAACAGGGCGCATTTAAACAAGAGTAACTATTGCAAAAGGAAAAATAACCATTTAATAAAGTTAACCGTTCTGGCCGTGGTTAAACCCAGGATAGATGTGCGGGGCTGGCCCGGTGCTCTGTTCCCTCGTCCCCAGCGTGGAGACCTGCCCGTGCTGCGGGCCGCGAGCAGGCGAACCCAGCTGCCCCAAACGCCCGCCCCAGCCGCCTCAAACCTCCACCGGTACCGGCTGCTGCCAGGACTCATTGTCCTCTCGGTGGCTGCTCATGGCCCACTGACTGTGTTTGTGCCTTCCCTTTTCAGACTTAGCTGAGGCAGTCTGCCTTCGCGATCTGTGGAAATAATGAGACAATATCAGTTAATTCCTCAGCAAACTGCATCCTCGCAGTCTCTAAATAGCTGTACACATCAACCGAAAGCAACCTTTGAAACGGAGGGTTGGGAGGGCGGCGGGAGCGTGGCAGAGTGCCCCACAGCACCTGAGCGGAGCGTGCTCAATGTCAGCTGGCGGCAGCGGCGGGGCGAGGGCGAGGGGCTGGGGCTGCGCTAGCAGATGGCGGATCACGGGCAGCGTACGGCCGTACCCAGGAGGCCCAGCAGGGCACGGACAGCCATTCTCCAGCAGTCATCTCAGGCTGCAGTTAGCTGGGCTCAGCCTGGTAAACCAGTAGAAAAAATAACCCAGGAGAGCAGCTCTCTGCTGACTCGGTGAGGTGAACCGGATCACTGTGGGGCGAGGGAAGGGCTGGGGCCGGCACAGGGGAGCGCTGCCCGGTTTGGTTGTGTGCCAGGCAGCTGCGAGAACTGCTCATCTCCTGTGCAAAGATTTGTCCTCTGTGGACAAATGCAGACTGATCTGAGAAATGCTCAGAATAATACTAATAAAAAAGATCTTTGGAGTAACATTCTTAATAAAGCTGGATGACACTAAGAACACATTTGCTCAGACCAGGAAATGGTACAGTAATTAAGATGGAAGATAATTAGCATTGGAATGAAGATGCTAATTGCTTGGAGGGACAGTAAAAGCATAGTTATGTTAACCAGAAGTAATCCACAACAGTAACCCACAGTTTAAGGCTGCAAATCAAACCGGTGACATCCAAGTTATGGTCCGGAGTGAAGGTCCGATGATGATGATGTCAACTGTGATTGAGAGAAGAGGCAAGCCGGAGCCGAGGAGGAAGATTAAGAGCTCGGTTCTAGCCACGCGGAGTCAGAGGTGTCAGCCATACATCTGCGAGATGTCAGGAAGGATGAAGTTTTAGTTTGGACATGACTTCGTTCAACTGGAACTGTCCATCACAGAGAAAGTTTGTACAACGAATTAAGTATCATTTTAATTGCTATTGAGGCTGATTATCGCCATGCTACAGGTGGTTTTCCCTTCCTTGAAAGGTCTCTCTAGCAATAGTCCTGTTACACACTCAAAAGGTGAAGAAAATTGATCAGAATTGAATGTACTATGTATTTGCATGGGGCTGGTGTTCTATATAAAAAAAAATGTGCAGGGGTGGCAGTGATCTAAAGATAACCCCTTTACGGAATGAAGTTATTCTTGATAGCTGTATTTTTTTCTCTTCTCATTTTTGGCAGTCTGTGCAGAAAGCTGGATTTGAACTGCAAAGCTGTCTCTGGAAGCGGCGGCCCTTAGAGCACGGCTTGCTGAGGCGCGAAACCCTCTCGGAAGGCTCCGGCCTCATGACAGGGCCCGGCCACACAGCGACAACGGATGGGCCGGCTGGGGCCGGGCCCGCGGCCTCTCCTCCCCGCGCCCGGTCTCCGCCGCCCGGCCGAAGCTCCCGG